CAATATGTATCTACATATGTTAAAAACCACAAGTTCATCCAGATACCCCCAATTTGAATCCAACACCACAGAATTTACTCTAGTTTTCCCCCCTTCCATCTTTGGAAGCCTGGCTCCCATTTTCTTCAGTATATTTACATGTTTGTTTAATCCCCTTATATGTAACTAATCTCCAGCCATGCCAGCCAACCACTCCTCAGCGTTGTGGTGACCTCGTGGGCCACCATGTGGCTGAGAGGGAGACGAAAAGCTCCTGAGGCTTTGACTTGGTGATTCCATAGGATCCTTGTCAGCTCTTTGATGCTTTGAAGAATTTTTTACACTTCACCCATTTTTAGTTGTTTTCAACAGGAGGGTTGGCCAGAATGAAATTGCCTGCAGTATTTTCATAAGCTGAACAAAATATATTTTTATGTGTTTGATGAGAAGAAAAAATTGGGAAGTACTACTTCGGGTGTTGCCTGTCTTCATTTGAAATTTTGCCTGTATCTATTTTGTTTTGTTTTGTTTTGAGACAGAGTCTCGCTCTGTCACCCAGGCTGGAATGCAATGTCATGATCTCAGCTAACTGCAACCTCCGCCTCCCAGGTTCCAACAATTCTCCTGCCTCAGCCTTCCGAGCAGCTGGGATGACAGCCACCTGCCAGCACGCCTGGCTAATTTTCGTATTTTCAATAGAGATGAGGTTTTACTACGTTGGCCAGGCTGGTCTCAAACTCCTGACCTCAGGTGATCCGCCCGCCTTGGCCTCCCAAAGTGCTGGGATTACAGGTGCACACCACCACACCTGGCTAAATTTTGTTTTTTAAATAAATGTTTTTAAATTTTAAATAACTGAAACAGGGTTGTTGCACAGGCTAGTCTCAAACTTCTGGCCTCAAACAATCCTCTTACCTTGGCCTCCCAAAGTGCTGGGATTACAGGTGTGAGCCACCCACCTGGCCTGGATCATGCTTACTTGTAGCTCCTCATAATTTGCCAGCTCTAGACAAAAATCATAAAATGAACCACTTTCAATCTACCTAATATGCAAATGATGGAGGAAAACAGGATAAGGTCCGTTGAAATTCTCCCCTCAAAAAGGAGAAGCACCACACAGCTCTCACCAGCTGCATCAGTGTTTCTCAAACTTCACTGTGTCTCAATCACCTGGAGAGCTTGTTAAAATGCCACGTCTGAGTCACGGGGTCTGGGGCGGGGCCTGCAAATCTGCATTTCTAATGATTCCAGGTGATGCGTTGCTGCCATCTGAGGACTGTGGTTTGAGTAGCAAATCTCTGGGGTGTCCATCATTCTTACTCCCCTGGTCAGGAGGATTGTATTACGTGATAAAACCAGCAAACCTTAGAGGTATTTTTAAACTTTTTATTTTTTTAATTTATGAACATACACAAGGAGAACCCCTAAGTACCACTGGGATTCACCAATCTTATTTTATAACTTTCGCTGCCTCTGAACTTTTTCTTTGTTATTTGAAAGCAAATGCAACCATTATATCATTTCAGCATGCACCTCTACCAGATAAGAATAATAAGAAACAAACAAACAAAAAAAACAGTATCATTATCACACAAAACTAACAACACTTGTAACACAAAATTAACAATAACTCCTTGATAATCGTTTTTTTTTTTTTTTTTCTGAGACGGAGTCTCACTCTGTTGCCCAGACTGGAGTGCAGTGGTACGCTCTCCGCTCACTGCAAGCTCCTCCTCCCGGGTTCACGCCATTCTCCTGCCTCAGCCTCCCAAGTAGCTGGGACTACAGGCGCCCGCCACCTCGCCCGGCTAATTTTTTGTGTTTTTAGTAGAGATGGGGTTTCACCGTGTTAGCCAGGATGGTCGATCTCCTGACCTCATGATCCGCCCACCTCGGCCTCCCAAAGTGCTGGGATTACAGGTGTGAGCCACCGCGCCCGGCAATAACTCCTTCATAATCTAATAGTCAGTCCATACGCTGTATTCTCAGCTGCACGGTTTTTGAGCCTCTTCCCAAGCAGTAGCTGATTTTCCTGGTCAGCTCCTCCGGTGGCTCAGGTTCACTCCTTTTTGCTGAACACCTTATGTTGCTGTGCTCCTTGGCCCTGGGGCTGAGTACATGGGTGTATTCATCCTACAACCGTATTTTATGGCCTGCCAATTTCCTTCTCGGGGTGGGGGGACTCTGTTTGCTAGTACACAATGCTCTAGAATAAGGCAAAAGCTTTAGAATCACGCCTTTTGAGTCTGAGCCCTACCTTCCTGGGTCTCTCCCCAGTCCTGTAGCCTTAAGGTTAGGACAGTAAACAACAGCCTGGACATGAAGCCTGGATTATCGGCCTCTGGTTGGCAGCTCAGGTGGCCTTGTAGATATGGGAGTGGGTTTGCTTCAGGAGAAGCCTGTGGGACCAGGCATCTCAAAGTCTTTTAGCTTCAAATTCCTCTAGTTTTTTCCCAGATATCTTCCCATTGCCAGGATCTCACAACATTTTAAATCAGTGTATTAATTGGTTGTTCAATTCAGCGAGATGTGTGGTTCTCTGACCCTCTGCCTCTCCAATCCCTGGCTATAGGCAGAAAGGGCTTCCCCTAACAAAGGAACAGACTGAAGCTTGTTCCTACTCTGCCGTCAGGCACCCCCTCCAGCGCCCCCACCACCCCCCGCCACTTGCATGTATCTTGTCTCTCTTGCAGTCTGTCCCTGAAACCCACAAGAAGGAGCCAGCACACTCTATCCCGGCATTCTCCATTGGACCCTGAAGCTCGAGAGAGAATGACGTGTGGTTTCCTGGCCAGCTGCTTCATGACCAAATAGCAAGGATTGCCCAACACCCAGCCTAGAATAGGCGGATGATCCCATCCCTGCTCCGCTGGCACCATATAACAGGACTCTGCAAGGCTGCGCTGAGTTTCCAGGTTCCAAATCCTATTAGGCAGGGCTCTTCTGGCTGTGTGGGACAGGACTCAAACTCAATGTTTTTTCAGCCAAAAGGGGAATTGACTGGAAAGATGTGGGCATGTCACAGAACAGCCTGGTATCGGGAAAGGCAGGAGTGAGCTGGGGCTTCCTCTACCCATCTCTTTTTTTTCTTCTTCTTCTTTTTTTTTCTTTTGAGATGGAGTCTCGCTCTGTCGCCCAGCCTGGAGTGCAGTGGCGTGATCTCGGCTCACTGCAACCTCCACCTCCCGAGTTCAAGTGATTTTCCTGCCTTAGCCTCCCAAGTAGCTGAGATTACAAGTGCCCACCACCACAGCTAGCTAATTTTTGTATTTTTAGTAGAGACAGGGTTTCACCATGTTGGCCAGGCTGGTCTCGAACTCCTGACCTCAGGTATCTACCCACCTTGGCCTCCCAAAGTGCTGGGATTACTAGCATGAGCCACCACGCCTGGACTCCACCTCTTTTCTTGTGGGTTCTTTTCTCTGTCTGCAGGCCTCACAGAGACCTGGGCTTGAGGCCTCATAGAGGAGCCCTCAGTGCTGACCACACACTACAGTCCCCTGAGGAGCTACCTGACCTCTGATGGCAGGTCTACCTGGATCAATGAAGTCAGAGTGTCTGGGGTTGGAGCCTGGGCGTCGCCCCCAGGTGACTCGAATGTGCACGCAGGGTTGGGAACCATTGCACTGTAGCTTCAGGCACCCAGAGGAAAAACTCTTGCAGTTATCATTCATGATCAGGGGGCAGGACTCTGGGGAGCCTATTTAGGGTCAGGTGGCCACACCCTCTGACCAGAGACTGGACAAGCCCCTGTGGTGCCCCGGTGGATGTGCAGGGCCAGCCAGGCCAGGCGCTGAGGGGTCAGTCCCCCAGCAGCTCCCTGCCATTTGTGTCATTCCTCCTGCCCCTGCCCTCGACTGCAGCGTACATGGCAGTCATCTCATCCGACTTGGTTTCCATCACTTTCCCTCTCAGAGTCAAGCTCGAAGGAGAAGCCGAGCGGCATTCTTGAGATCTGGGGACTTGGTGGGAGATGTGGTCACAAGGCAGGTGGTGGAGGAGGCCAGAATGGGGCTGGCCAAGGAAGGTGCATAGCAGGGAAGGGGAGGTTCTGTGATGGATGCTCTCCCCAGAAGCCTGCTATGCAGTGGCCAAAGAGACTTGGATACACCGGAGAGGGTTTGGAGTGGGAGAAGTCTGAGCATGAGGGGCGGGGCTGGCACACTTTGGTTCGGGGAGATGTAGGACAAAGGACTCTGGCCTTGGGACTGACCTGGGCTGGTTTCCCTACATTCCTCTCCGGCCCTTCCCCCTCTATGCTAAGCAGGGATGGTACCTGGACTTCAAGACCAAAAGCCCTTCTAACTCTGACAGTACTGCTGGGTGCAGCAAGCAGTTCCAGCCACAGTCTCTGGGCAGCCTCAGGCTGTCCCCTCCCCACTCTGGTTCTAGGAAAAGACCTTGGACCTCAGCTGGATGCTGGGGATCAGGAGAGGAAGAATGGTAGGTGTGGAAACAAGGGGCAGGATTTGGGGTGAGCAGAGCTGGGGGCTGCAGACCTTGCTCAGGACAGTCCTGATGCCCGCAAGCTCCTAACGCCCTCCCCACATTCCCTTTTCTACATAGGGAGCTCCTACTCTGTGTTGCCTCACCTATCTCCGATCCCCAGCATCCAGCTGGAGGGCCTTCCAGGAACTGTCCCTTCCCTTAGGAGGTCTCTGGAGCACAGTAACAGGGGCAGGGTTTACTACCTTGGGGCCTCTTTCCACACCAGGGGCTCCGTGACTCAGGGGCCTGCTCTCAGAGCTGGGCCAGGCCTCAGGGGCAGCCTCCAGGAGTGGGTGGGGTCTCCCATCAAGGAGGACCTTGAGCCAAGGCCAAGGCCAGGCTTGGGAGGGGGTTCCCTAGACAGGGGGTAGGAGCCCTGAATTGTCTCCTGCTCAGCCTTGGATGTGCTGTGTAACCCACCCTGGACCTCTGTCTCCTCATCTTTCTGCCCAAGAGCCCCAGGGGTCAGCACTGACCACTCTGACCCAGGCCCCGTCCAAGTCACGCCAAGGACAGACTGAATGACACCATGATTGGGGCTGGATGTTCACTTCTCTTTCCAAAAAATATGAAACACAGAGTCTAGGTATGGCAGGGGACAGAGCCTGGCTGGGGACTGGACATTACACACCCAGGGGGCCCTTGGCGGAGGCGGGCAATTTAACAACTGGTCTGAAAGTCAAAAGAGAGAGAGCTGGTTAGTGGAGTGAGCTGTGGGGTCGGGGACAGGGGCTGTGCATTCAGGCCCGGACATGGGTACTGGCCAGCATGGCAAGACCTTGGCCCTCACAGCAGCCCTGCCTGGGGCCCATTCCCGGGGGCGGGGGCGCCATGGTCCGACCTAGCCATCTGTGTGGGTAGCCCCCAGCCCTGGGTGCACTGGAAGAACCTGAGACCTAAACTCAGACTCTCCCTGTCCTCGTGTGAACGTTCAGCATCCCGGCACTGCCCTTGTGGGGTTGCTGTGAGGAGCCCATGGGACTGGGGAGGGTGAAGGTTTCTGCTCACCCCAAGGACCTGGGTACTAAGGTACTTCTTGGCCACTGCTGTAACTCCAGGGCCCAGCACTTAGCAGACACCCACACGGCTCTTCAGTGAGTAAACAGCCGGGCTGGTGCCTGAGGGCCTGTCTCCAGGGATGCATGCTGGTGCCCACCAGGCTGTGCAGACAGGACCGTGCCTGGACCTGCATCCGTGTGTGTGCCTGGGGGCTGGGTCCTGCCTCTGCTCTCTCTGAGGATCTGGGTCTCGGATTGCAAGGTGGGTGCTTGCGTTGAGGACAAGCTACTCAGAGCACCTATGCCCATCCTATGCCCCAGTGGCCCTGCCCAGGGTGCTGCGAGGCTGGCTGGATACTGGACGAGGGGGCCACCGGGCGGGGGGCTGGCCAGGGCAGGAGGAGCTCAGACGTACTCTCGGGCAGCAGCAGAGGGTCCAGGCCGATAGGGCTGCGGGCTGCTGTTGGGTCTCTCTGGCTCCGGGCACGTGCAGCAGAGGAAGGAGCCCCCCAGCACGGCCAGGCCAGCTGACGCCCAGCCCACAAACAGGGCCGGGCCAAATTCATACCTGCAAGGGGTAGGGAGAATGGCATCAGGTGCGGCTGCTGCCTCAGGTTGTTCCCAGTCCCTGCCCTGGCAGAGGAAGGGCAGAGTGTGTGGAGCTGGGGGCTGGAGCCGCACGACCTCTTCCATGTGTCCAGATAAACTGAGGTGAATGCTCTTCCTTTCTGCCTCCCGCCAGCCCAGAAGATCCACACCACACAGGGTGACCCAGCCAGGGTGGGCGTGAAGGCCAGAGGCTTGGCCTCCAGCTCCTGCTCTGGGCAACCTTGGGCTCATTTCCTGATCTGGCCAGTGGAGGGGGCATGGGAGGGCCTGAGAGGTCTGCGCGGGAGGAGTGGGGCAATCCCTGCCATCTTTCTTCCCAGTCACAGTCGGGCCCACAGAACTCCCAGCCAGGACTGCTCCCGCTGCCCTCTGGAGAAGGCTGTCCACACCCAGGCCCTGCTGGCCAGTCCGGCCCCGATCCTGGGTCTCACTGCCTTAGTGCCTTTGCACAAGGCACCCCCTCCTGGGGCATCAAGCCCCCCAGCCCGCCACTCCTGTGCCTCCCCAGTTCCTTCTCTGCCTTCAGAGCCCAGTTCAGATGCCTCCTCCCCGTGGGGTCTTTCCTTGACATCCTCTGTGTTTACACTGCCCCTTGCGTGACTCCACTGCCATGCTTTCTTCAGGAGGCCTCAGCCCCTTGCTTGTCCGGCCCCCTGGGAAGCCCGTTGAGGGCAGACAGAGCCATTAGTGTCCCCAGGACCCAGCACAGGGCCTGGCAGCCCAAGTGGCATTGGGGACTGTTGAAGGGATCGGGGGCCAAGTCCTATCCTGACATGCCTAAGCTGGACCTTGCTTGGCAGATTTTGTGGCTGCAGCTGCCGCCCAGGGAACAAACCTTGTACCTGAGATCTCCTCCCTCCCCTCCCCTCTCCACATCTCTGCCTCCTCCAGGGATCCCTCCTGATTGCAACAGCCCAGGCATCTTTTCTCATCCTCTCTCCACTCCAAGACCCAAAGCCCACTGGGATGTCTAGGTTTGAGACTGTCCCATTCTCTGCTCCTGGCTAGGTTGAGAAGTGAGGGAGGAGCCAAGGTAGGCCCAGGCCCTTTGCAGAGCATCCCCTTCCGTTCCCATGCCCACAGCCTTACAAGTCCTGGTTATCTCCTGAATATCAGCCTGCTTTCTACTGCTCCCTCCCTGGCGCCCCAAACCCTCTGCTCAGACCTTTGGGACAGCCGCCTTCCTGGTGTCACTCCCTCCCCACCATTCTGCACATCCCAGCCAGAGGGACTGCCGCTGCCTCCACTCGGATGAGGAACAAAATATTCCTATGGCTGCAAGGCCCTCCACGATCTGCCCTTATTCTCAAGTTTCTTCCTGGCTCAGAATAACTGCTGCCTCCTGCAGGAAGTCATCTCAGCCCTGCTGCCACCAGCAGAAATGCCACACCCTCACCTGCGTCTTGCTGGATACAGACAACCATGCGTGAACTGGTGCTCAGTTTCTAGCCCCATTTTACAGAGGAGGAAACTAGGCACAGAAAGATTAAGTAACTTGCCCAGGTGACACAGTGCATGCAAAGCTGGGATGGATGGATTGATTGATCGTTTGATTTTTTTGAGACAGAATCTCACTCTGTCACTCAGACTGGAGTGTAGTGGCATGATCTCGGCTCACTGCAACTTTCGCCTTCCAGGTTCAAGCTATTCTCCTGCCTGCTGTGCCTCCCAAGTAGCTGAGATTACAGGTGCCCGCCACCACGCCCAGATAATTTTTGTATTTTTAGTAGAGATGGGGTTTCACCATGTTGGCCAGGCTGGTCTTGAACTCCTGACCTCAGGTGATCCACCCACCTTGGCCTCCCAAAGTGCTGGGATTATAGGCGTGAGCCACTGCACCTGGTCAGAGGTGGGATTGAAACCCAGAGCCAGGGCACTTAGGTCCTTAGAGAGTCCTTGCTGCACCTGGGGGCCCATCAAAGGCTTCCCGCCCCTATGGAGGCCCCAGCACACTACTCCTGGCGCCCCCATTTAAAGCTTCTTGGACAGCAGCTGGACCCTGTCCCCCACTTCCCCCGCCAGGTGATCCAGTGGACAAAGGTCAGTGGTCCCAGAGGAGGTGAAGCAAAAGATCCAAGCCCTGGCACCCACCTGGCATTGACAGGTGTGCTTGGGTTGAAGAACTCCTGGGTCACCAGGGTGGCATACCACGAGACGGCAGTCAAAGTGCAGAGGCCTGAGGACAAAGCAGAGGGGCGCTCAGCTCTGCTCTGGTCCCCCGAGGCCACTGGGGCTGGGGCTGCCTGCCATGGCTGTGATTGTGGAGGAGTGAGGGGCACTCACCTGCCAGGATGAAGAGGGCTCCCCCGGCGATGGCAACACGGCCCTTGGCAATGGGGTTGCTGTCTCCCACCCGTGTGCACTTCATGCCAACTACGCTGAGGACCATGGCCACGAAGCCCAGGAGCACAGCCACCACCATCAGGGCCCGCGCTGATTGGATGTGACCTAAGGTGGGCAGGGTGACACTGAGTCGGGCTGGCAGGGATGGGGGTTGGGTCGGTGCCTGGGGTTGGTGGAAGGAGCCCAGCTTGACAGAGGCTTGAGTAGGAGCTGGCCTGCAGATCAGACCAACTGCTGGCAGGTGTGGGATAGTGAGGAGTGACAGCCTGCGTCAGGAGGACAGGGTGTGGGGGTGAGGGTCCGCTCGCCCTTGCAGGCTTTTCTGGTGGTATGATTCACTCTGCTGCTGCTTTCTGGCCTGGGGACTCCCTCTTGGGCTTGACCCATCCTCCCAAGCAGCTGAGGGCAGCTCCAGGGTCCCCTCAGGTTTGGTAGATGGAAGAGCTGGGGGCATCTGAGGCCCAGCTCAACTCAGCCTGAGTCCCGCAGCAACCCCTCCCCAGCAGCCATTCAGACAACGGTCACTTTCCCCTCTGCCCGTGGCAGCTAGAAGCTTGCCTCTTCATGGGCCCTGGGGGCCGTTCAGGAGACCTGGGTCCCTCAGCGAGGCTAGACGACCTGCCTGAACTGACCAGCCTGAACTGGCACAATGGGGCTGGTTGATGGCCACTCTGCTCCCAGCTCCCATGGGGAGCAGATTGCCCTGGGGGGTCCTGGGCAGATTGCAGGTGGATCACCTCCACCCCAGAGTTAGAGCTTCGGCGGTGCCTGTCAGGCTCAACTCCACACCCCAAAAGGAGAGGTATGCATGTACACGTGCGTGTGTGTTTGTGTGCCTGCGTGTGCATGTGTGTGTGCATGTGTGTGCGTGCACCCATATGCTGCCACACAGGCCTGGGAGCAGGACTGGGGAGCAGGCGTGCCTCGTACAGTGTGTGTCTGCTGAGTGTGGGGAGAAGTGGGTGAAGGGTCTTAACTGAGCCTTTCAGAGTGCCACAGGTGTTAGTATTCCCCTTTGGAGACGAGAACATCACAATGGGAAGAGGTTTGGTGACTGGTTCAAAGTTACAGTGACAGAGCAGGAATCTGGACCCACAGCTGCCAGACCCTAGAGCCCTCCCCCCCTACAGGGCAGCAGGCTGGCCTGGACTGTGGATGGGCACAGGGCAGTAGTGGGGAATTGTAGAGAGGGGGCTGGAGGATGGAGCCCAGTGCAGACAGCAGACTGTGAGGAAAGCTTGCTCCAGACCCCTGTGCTGTTCCCACCTCCCACCTCCCACCCCGCCGGCCTCAGGCCTACCGTCCAGGGCGAGCAGCGAGTCGTAGAGCTTGCACTGCACTTGCCCGGTGCTCTGGGAGGCGCAGGACATCCAGAGCCCTTCATAGAGGCCCACGGCGGTGATGATGGCGTCGCCTGCGTAGGAAGACTGCTTCCACTGCGGCAGGGCTGTGCTAGCAATGATGCCCACCCAGCCACCCAGGGCCAAGAAGTAGCCCAGGAGCTGGAGGCCTGAGTTGGCCATGGCCTGGGGGAGGGGACCGAGGGTCCCGGGACTCAGAGCTGGGCCAGGGTCCCAGCAGGGGCTGTGGTCATGGCCAGGTGGGAGGAGCAACTGGGCAGGGGGAGCAGTGAGAAGGAGGGTCAGAGGCAGAGAAGGAGAGGTGGTGGGGCGGCAGCGGCTGGAGCAAAGGCAGTGGCTCTGGACTCCAGAATGCAGGGGGAGGCCCAGGGGCTGGAAAAGGCCAGGGCCCGCCCACAGCAGCCGCCTAAGCCAGAGCAGGGTCCCCAGCAAAGCTCATGCCCAGCCCCCTGGGGGCGGAGGGCCGGCCCATGGCCCAGGTGGTGTCCCTGCCCCGCCCCGTTCCCCAGGGGTAGGGAAGGGAGGGGCTGAGAGGAATGACCCAGCTGCCCTCAGGGCCTTTTCCCCCAGGGAAACCCCTTTAGGAACCTGATTTGGGTGCCCTAAAATTCAGATAATCGCTCACCCAAACACCAGCCCTGGGAGGATGGGCTTCGCTCTTGCAAGGCTGATGTAACCCTTGGGGTTTTCTGCCCTTTGACTTTAGGACAGAAGGGAAAGGGATGCCAGTTTGCAGCAGGTAAAACTAGAGTTAGACGTCACGGATAACTTTTTGGCAGGGACTCTGAAGCTAGATATGGGGAGGCTGAGCTAGGGGTGGAGTGTTGGGAAGAGGGGTCATGGGTACCTGGGAGCTGTGTGTGCCAAAAATCAGGGAGGCCAGACCAGGAAATAAGTACTGTGGGGTCTTTTTGAGATCTGAGGGGGACAGAAAAGGGGCCCTATCAAGGCTGGGCCAGTGCTGGCTGCCGGCCAGCAAGGGGCCTGCTGGGGAGCTGGGGAGACAGCCCCGACCTTCTGGCATCAGCCTGAAGGAAGGCGGATTGCTCAGCCCCTTAATCCCCTTGCTGCCTGGCTTAGTAGCTCCCGCTGGGACTGGAACACTGGGCCCTGGCCCCCAGCTCTAGAGCAGCCTGGCGCGGAGCAGTGGCCTCTGCACATTCCTGGGGTTCAGGCTGCCCTCTCCGAGCACCCCCACCACCCTCTTCTCTCTCCCAGTCTCTCGGTCCTCAGGAGTAGGGGAATGTTTAACTCTCTTCCACCTCATTAGCAATCCCCTCACGTTCAGTTGGGCCCCACTGCTGCGTGGGTGCAGGAGGAATGCCACAACCCTGCTCCCACTCCTGCCAGCCCCCGGCCGCCCCCTCCATCCCCAGTAGCCCACCCACCTTTCCTGGACTGCATTGCGGGAAGGCAGGGTCCTGCTGCAGACCCCTGCTGGCTTCCTCCCCTACAGCCCAACCCCCCTCTGAAGGGACAAGTCCCCAGCCTGCTCCCTCGCATTCTTCACGTGGCTATGCAAACGAGAGGGTGCCAGGCGCTGAGCAGACAATGGCAGCCCTGTGTGCCCGCCCAGGGCGCCTGCCCAGGGCGTAGGCCTCTGGTATGGCCTGCAGCTCTGGCCAGAGCTGGGGGAGTGGTCTGCCGTCTGAGGGTAAAGGGTAGGCACTGCTTGGCCTGTGGTGGCCCACACTGAGACCCTCTGAGGCTCTCTGTGCTGGCAGGGTCAGAGCCACGTGGATCCAAGCACTCACAGACCTGCTTCCTGCATGACCTGCGGGTCCGAAAGAGCAAATGGGGTCTAGGACAGTGGCAAAGAAGTAAGTCCTGAGCTCAAATTCCTCAGCCACAATGACAAGACAGTAGGATCGAGGGGAGCCTCCTCCATCCTGCTGGGGCCGCAGTGGGCACCCCGCGACCAGTGCATTAATTTAAGCATGCGGGCCACCGTTGCAGGCAGCAGGCCTCCTAACAGTCAGGAGACTGCGGCGGAGGGAGGTGATAGGCCCCCAGCTAGGAAGCAGCAGGAAGAGTTTTCCGCTTGAAACTGTGTGGTGCTTGCCCTCACAGTCTCTCTCCCACACTCCTCCCTTTTTGAGGGAGGCACCGGGTCCAGATTGAAGGGGGCCGCGGGCAGTGACAAGATACTCCCCAGGGGTGACCTGAATGACGGCGGTGCCTCAGGGTCCTCACTCTAAATGGGAGGTTTGCTGCATGGAGTTGTGGTGGTCTGTTAAGGTAAGCGATGTTTGGGGAGGGCAGGGGCCTGGTGCTGGGTAGCTGCTCCTCATATGCTTCTCCAAAGGCAAAGCCCTCCTTCTCCCCACGCTAGGCCTTGGCCCCTTTTCCCTGTCATCTGCAGGAGTGCTCTCTGTAGGGAAGATCTAGGGGTCATTCTGGTTTCAGGGGGACCTGGGTCAGGAGCCCAGAGGCCAGTCAGAAACACGCCTCAGAGACCACGGGCTGCGGCCCCCTCCATTGACAATTTGAGAGCCAAAGAGGGAAAGGGAGCCGCGGTCCACAGGGCCCCAGAGCCAGCAGGAGGCCTGCATGCTCCTCCATCCTGGGCGTTCCCAGAGCCTCTTCGTGATCCAGAACAGAGCTCTCCTCTTCCTCTGAAGCGCTTCTGTTTATCCCTTCTCTTTGTTATTTGAGGCTTTGAGTCTCTCCTACCCTGATGGCCTTCCCTCACTCTTGTTCCAAAGCCTTTTGGCATTCAGATTCTGCTTCTGGAGTGGCACTCCGTAACCTGGCACAGCTTCTCCACCTAGGGCACCTACCACTCCTGGTGCCCCCCTTGCAGTCCAGTGACTCCCAGGCATGTGGGGAGAACAGGAAGGCACAGGGACCCAGCCCGGCCTCCATTAAGAGCTCACTGAAACTGCCCTGGGGTGGCACACCACACTGCTTTCACTCAGGCTACGAGAAGCCTACAGTGCTAGCTTTACCCCTGCCACTGAAAAGCTATGTGACAGCCAAGTCCTCAGCTTCCCTGGACCTGGTTTCTCCACTGAAAAGTAGGGATAATAATACTTGCCCTGTCTGATGCATGAGGGAGTTTACAAGGATCAGATGATAGGTGAGAAATGCCGTTTGAAAACATAAAACGCCTGCAGAACTGTGGCTAATTAAAGCTCTGTTCCAAAAAGACTCCCCGCACCGTCTGCCCCTCCAGCCTTTGCACCCTGGGAGTGGGCAGACTGCCTGTGGCTGAAGACCCGCTGCCACTTCCTCTGCAACAGTGCCTGACTGAGAGCCGCGCTTGCTAGGTATGTGGTGATCACTGACTGATTGGTATGAGGATTCAATGTTTTTGCCTCCTTCCCTGTGAAAAATCGGAGACCTTTCCACCGCCCTCTCTCACTGCCAGTTAGGAGGGTCTGATTCAGTCTTTAGCAATCTAGCACCTTCTCTGCAATCATCATTTGAAAATTTGGAGTTCTTATCACCCTCCCAACTCAGAGTCTGAGATTCCCGGAACTATAAGCTTGGAATGGAGACTACTTGCCTCAGGGCACACAGCTAGAAAGCAATACAGCCAGCTTTGTGGCCACCCCCAACGATTCTGCCTGCCCAGGCACGGCTAAGCATCCTGATCTGCAATCCCATCATACTCTTGGCATCTTTTCATTTGCTGCACTTAGCACATCATTTACCTCCTTCCTGAGGTCTCTGAACATCTTGAGACTGTGTTAGCAGACACATTTTTGTGTTCCACTCTCTTGCCCGGGCCCAGCGCCTCTGTGACACATGTGGCCGTCCCATTTGTCTTATCTCCTGTGCTAACCACACTGAGTACAGGATCTGTCTCTTGATGCCCCTCCTGAGAGCTCTGCTAGATGCCTGGGGCACCAGAGACTAGTGGTGTCTTCCATATCTGAATCTTCACCGAGTTTGAGGAGTTGCTTCTCATCCCCTCCAACCCTCCCATGGGCTCTCTCCTTTCTTCTCGCCCTTGCACGTGCCTTACCAAACACAGACCTAAATCACAGTCGCATCTCAGCCAGGCTGCCATCACCCCATGCTTCCAGGAGGACTTGCCCCACTCTAATTATATATACTTCTCTTGGGCCTGCTGCCTTGAAAACATCTGGCCTTTTGTGAGCTCAGTTAAGAGGCTGCTGCCTGTATCTGGTTAGCATAAGCTGAAACTGTAAAGGTCATCTGCCTTGATGTGGAAACTTCTGGAAAACCAGAATCAGGCTGATGTAGTCTCCTGTAATGTTGATGTCTACCATGGGCTGAGTGTCGTGCTGGTTGCTTTGTGAGCATTCCCTTGCTTAACCATCCTGGGAAGGACTGTGATTCCATTCCGCTGGTGAGGAAACACACGCAGGTTCCCTAACTTGCTGGAGGTCACACAGCTCCACGTGGTGGAAGTGGGGGTGTCACCCAGCTCAGTGTGGAGTAAAGTTCATGCTCTTTGCACTAATGTGGTCCTCTCTGTATGCCGAGTGAGTCACCCAAATAGGACAGCGGAGATCAACCATGATAAAAGGAGGAGTGACTATTTTGACTGGATCATTCCCATCAGCCAACTAACACGCAGTGCTATCTCCCAGCTCAAAAAATAATCATTTCCTAAAAATCAATTTTTCTTTTTTAATAGAGATACGGTTTTCCCGTGTTGCCAAGGCTGGTCTTGAACTCCTGGGCTTAAGTGATCCTCCTGACTTGGCCTCCCAACGTGTTGGGATTACAAGCGTGCGTCACTGTGCTCAGCCCAATAACCTTTTTTTTTTTAATTGGAACTTTTGTTTTTGTTCGTATTTATTTATTTGAGATGGAGTTTCACCCTTGTTGCCCAGGCTGTAGTGCAATGGCGCAATCTTGGCTCACTGCAACCTCCGTCTCCTGGGTTCAAGTGATTATCTCACCTCAGCCACTCGAGTAGCTGGGATTACAGACACCTGCTACCACACCCAGCTAATTTTTGTATTTTTAGTAGAGATGGGGTTTTGCCACATTGGCCAGTCTGGTCTCAAACTCCTGACCTCGGGTGATCCACCCGCCTTGGCCTCCCAAAGTTCTGGGATTACAGGCGTGAGCCACCGTGCCTGGCGGTTTTTTTTTTTTTTTTTGAGATAGAGTCTCGCTCTGGCGCCCAGGCTGGAGTACAGTGGTGTGATCTTGGCTCACTGCAACCTCCACTTGCCAAGTTAAAGTGATTCTCCTGCCTCAGCCTCCCAAGTAGCTGGGATTACAGGTACCTGCCATGAAGCCCAGCTAATTTTTGTATTTTTAGTAGAGACGGGTTTCACCATGTTGGCCAGGCTGGTTTTGACCTACTGACCTTGGGTGATCCACTTGCCTCAGCCTCCCAAAGTGCTGGGATTACAGGCGTGAGCCACAACGGCCAGCCTTGTTCT